GTTCAAACAAACGTAACAAAAGTGGACATTAGCATAATAAACTGGTTGATACGATCTGCCACATTTGGACAGGGAATGCAAACATGCTGAATATTTTTATTGATGCAGTCGCACGGTAGAGCCACGTGCCTTACTTTTTCACCTGTTTCCAATGGCAACCTTAATGCTGCAATATATTGCATATATGTTTCTACAGAGTATATACTTCAGTAGGGTTTTTGGGCACGACTTATTGGGTTTGTTTAATTTAAAAAAGATTCATTAACATTTACGACTCGAGAACTTCCCACCCACTTTAGTAATTAGGGAGTGGTTGCATTTCTTATTATTAGATTTTAACAAGATTTCACAAGACTCAGAAGCAAAAAGGAGATCTTAAAGTGTCTAGGGAGAGTAACAATTTCGTGCGGTTTAAGAAGGCACAGACGGGAAATGAGTTAATTTACAATGGCAATTTAAAGTAGTTGATACACAAATCTGTTTAGGAGTATACAAACTCATCTTTGTCAACACCTACGATAAAAAGAGTGAAAGTGATATCAGGAAAACTTTCTTGTCGTCCCTTTATTTATTATTTATTATCAGTGCCGGATAGCCTTGGATCTACCGCCCAGAGGACATATGAAATAACAAAATTTAAAACATTTATTTTTAGAAAATAATTAAACGTTCTCTAAACTAAATAAAGAACTTGACGACAGGTGCATCTTACAAAACACTGTCAGGGCGATTCAAGAAGACAAAACAAACTATTTAAGCGTTTGTTATCGTAAACTTTAACGCAATTTCCTGAACGCAGCCCGAACATATCATTCTCGTGGAAAAACTTTATTAATATCGCTCCTCGATAGAAGATTTATATTGAGCGCTTTCTCTTGTCATCAGTGCGAAAAGTTTTCCAAACGCGTTGCTGAATAAGAATTCGAAGATTATTGTCATTTCCTAAGACGAAGGCAAACCGATTTATTGATCGAGTGCGGCCATGAATCACGGGCGGCTAGTTTTGGGGGAAAACTTCGTTTATAAATACCCCATCCTATATTTCTTCATTACAGACAGACGGAGAATATGATTGCTGCTTAAGTGCGCTCCTATTGATGTCTATAGTTTGCGAAATTCAATTTTTATATTTTATTATAGTTTATAATGGAAAACCTTTGAATGCATCCCGTCGCCTTATTTTTATTGCCTTCATGTATACAATTTTATTTGGTTTCCTTTTGATAATTCTTGCATTGCAAACAAATCAAGGTATTCGTATTCTCGAGGAAGAAAAAACAACAAGCGAGACGAAGCACTTTATTGTGCTATTTACACCGCATAATGCAGTTTTCGCTGATGGTTATATTTCTAAAGGCACTGTGCGCAGATAAGCCGGCTTCAATATGAAGTTTTGAAGTTTACTGTTTTAACTTTACACCGAAAAGCTACAATATCAAGAATAAATCAAATAAAAAAATTCACACAGTGAATATTTGTATCTTAACACCCCTTTTAATAATAATATAAACTTTATTGCACAACAGTTTACACTAAAACAGGACATTCATTTAATAAAACACAGATGTTTACAAACAAAAATTACTTACAAGGTACCTAAAACTCAAACTAAAACTAAAACTAAAATTGAACAATCATAATTAAAATTAGACATTCAATTAGCCTTATACCTTCATGTGAATTTAATCTATTCGTTTTTATTCGACAAGTCCTGGTATTATGACAAGTTTAAAAGGGAACAAGCTAAAATTAATGGCAAGTTTAAATAAAGGCAAGATAAATAATGTCAATTATGTCATGCTAAAATGAAGGCAAGAAGAGTAATGGCAAGCTAAAATAAAGAAAGATAAATGATGGCAATCTAAAATGAAGGCAAGTTTAAATTATGTCTAGCTAACATGACGACTGGCTTAAATGAAGGCAAAAAGAATAATAGCAATCAAAAATGAAGGCAACGTAAATGATGTCAAGCTAAAATGATGGCAAGTTTAAATGATGACAAGCTAATATATAGACAAGCCTAAATGAAGGCAAGATAACTAATGGCAAGCTAACTATCTAAAAATGAATTAGTCAAAAATGACTAATTTAATAGTTATTAGTGGCTGCCAAAATTTAACAGCCAATTCTTATGTAAAATCGTCCCCTGAATCCGAAAATGTCGTCAAAAGTGAAAAAAGTGGAACAGTTCTTGATATACAGGGTGTTTCATAATATATGCGCAGGACTTCAGGATGTGATAGCTCATCCAAAAAGATGAAAAAAGTCGCTATTAAGTTACGCTCTAAAATGCACAATTTTCGAGATACAGGGTGTTGAAATTTTAGAAAAAAATTCGTTTTTTTCGAATATCTCCGGAACCGTTTATCGTACAAAAAACAGCTTTTGTAATCATTTTCTACTCAAAATAAGCTATGTTTTGTGCTAGAAAAAAAATTTTTTTCTTATAATTGGTGGAGATTTTGAAGGGGTAGCGGGTGTTTTTCTCCTCAACTTCTACGCCCCTGAAAAAAGTACGGTTTTAAGAGGCCCATTCGAACCGCCAATGTTTTCTACACAAAAAGGTATTCCTGGTCATAAGCTCTAAAGTTGACCGTTTTCGAGAAAAATCAACTTTTATGTTTAAAAACATGGTCAATTTAAAAAAAAATATATTTTTTTTTACTAATTAAACAATATTTATTTTAACGTTAGGACAAGTAACAAAACCAAACCATAATTGCAAAATAAAAAATGATTTAAAAGTTGTCTTTGCTTAATTCTCCAAACCGTAAAGGTAACGCATTTCGCACATTTCAGCATTTGAGTAAAAAATCATTTTTTATTTTTTTTTTTAATTTTGCAATTATCGTTTGGTTTTGTTACTTTTTCTAACGTTAAAATAAATTTTGTTTAATTAGTATTAAAAAAAATTTTTCAAAAAATTGACCATGTTTTTAAACATAAAAGTTGATTTTTCTCGAAAACGGTCAACTTTAGAGCTTATGACCAAGAGTACCTTTTTTGTGTAGAAAATATTGGCGGTTAGAATGGGCCTCTCGAAACCGTATTTTTTTCAGGGGCGTTGAAGTTGAGGAGAAAAACACCCGCTACCCCTTCAAAATCTCTACCAATTATGAGTAAAAAAAAATTTTTTTCTGGCACAAAACATAGCTTATTATGAGTAGAAAATGCTTACAAAAGCTGTTTTTTGTACGATAAACGGTTCCAGAGATAATCTAAAAAAACGATTTTTTTTCTAAAATTTCAACACCCTATATCTCGAAAATTGTGCATTTTAGAGGGTAAGTTAATAGCGACTTTTTTCATCTTTTTGGATGAGCTATCACATCCTGAAGTCCTGCGCATATATTATGAAACACCCTGTATAGTCAATTTTTCATTAAATATGTCATTAGTCATTTTTGACTAATTCATTTTTAGAGAGAATATAAAAGAAAAGTAAATGATTTTAAGCTAAAATATTCCATTATTTTGGCTTGCCATCACTAACTTGCATTTAATTCCTTTGGCTTTATTTTAGCTTGCCGTAAGTTCAGCTTGCCAATGTAAATTTCATCATTTTGGTTCGTCTTCATTTTAGCTCCTTGTTATATTACCCTTTTTAAATCTATTATAGTCATTTTATTATTAAAAATCATTTATCACTCCCACAATGGCAATCTGCGACTTTATGGCGTTTTAGTCACGGGCTGAAGTTGGAAATAGTGGCTTATGGGCGTTTTAGTCACCGGTTGAAGTTAGCTTTATTATAAATTGCAAAAAAGTGACGTTAAATTCGACAAATGTCAAATATTTATGAATTAAAAATGGCTTTTAATTTTTAATTCCCTTCGTCGTAGAAGCTACTTTTTATTAAACTGTTGTTTTTATGAAACACTTCTTTTTATTAAACACTCGTTTTTATTAAAAGTTCGCTCGCAAGCTTCGCTCGCTCCTAATAAAGCTTCCTAATAAAACTAAAATGGTGTTTATAAAACTTGATACATAATATACTATGTATTATATACCACCACAATGACAAGCTGTGACTTTATGGCGTTTTAGTCACGGGCGGAAGTTAGCAATATTTGCTTTTTTGACATTTAAGGCACAGGCTGAAGTTAGCTTTATTATAAATTTGTCAGATGTCAAATATTTATTAATTAAAATTGCCTTTAAATTCTTATTTGTGTTGGTCGTAGATAAAGTAGTATGCAATTCGTTTTATAAACTTCTACAGGTATTTGTAACTAAAATGGCGCTTATAAAACATAATAATATTATATACCATGTTATTGTATACAAATATATTTCCTACAGGATTCTTGACGGTTACATCAGTGCGTCTGATAAAATAATTTTCCAAAATTACCATCTAAAATTATGGTTGGGGTCCTCCAGGGCTTTCTAACCTTGTTAACTCCGTCTAATACACGTATAAGAGGGGTCCCTCTTCTACGAGTAATAGTATGGTTAATAAAGCCCGCGAAAAATCCATAACAATAATTATGCAAATAGCTCATTAACATAACCTTAATCATTGTGATTAAATCGATGCGGATTATATTAATTATTAGCGTACAGGTATGGTAACACAATGTAGTAAAGAATTTATAAAATGCTCATACAAAATTTCCCTCTCGAAATTACTATTCAACCGTACTTCCCGTACAGTTTCAGATACGAATTTAATGAAATATAACGTAGAAATCATTGTGAGATTTCGAATAACTAACTCGACGGGTGAAATGTGTTTCTATTAATTTGTAAATTAAATTCTAGTAAAGAGTTTTTAATTCAATATTTTGAATTGGCTTCGAGCCAAAAGCTGAAGCAATTTTAACAGGATTTATACGATTTAGTTGCATTGTAAATTATCAATCTGCCGTGAGCAGTGTTTTAAATTGCCATGGGACAGACAATATTGAGATGATATACAGCTTTTGCAGGATTTTTTCTTTTTGTGGGGCATTCGTACAAACAACCGATTAAACCTTTGAACAATTTACAGACAAAAATCACAAAACTTTTTCGCGGTTTTTGGCAGCGTGCGGCGTTGTTAAGGGCCGGCGTCTCGACGCTCCTACTCCTGCTGTTCCTGCTGGTGACGTTGCGAGGGTGTCTAAGAGCTCACATAGAGGTCGGGCGTGGCGATCGATCGATATAGCGCGGTAGAATTTTGCAGGAGGAGGTTTTGAAAGAAGAAGAAGAATCAGCAGAGGATGCAGGCGGCAGGAAAAATTAAGTGAACGCGCGCGAAGGGTGCACGCTCCTGCTGCGATGTTTTCTATAGCAGGAAAAATCGACAATCGCACTATGCAAGTCTCTGTATTGTCGACAGTGTTGATTATTTTGCAGGAAAGTGGTTTTGCAGCAATGGTATTTTGCAGGAATGATATTACTGTAAACTGTAATATATTTATCATGCAGTATTTTAGTAGTATTTTAATAATTTCTAGTTTTAGTCAATTTAAATTTTTATTCCTGCTGTTATTTCATGGAAATTCAGTAAATTTCCAAAATTATATAAAAATAATATAATTGTTGTATTTCAAATTAAATCAATGTGTAAACGTTTACAAATCGCTTGTCAAAATATACGTGATTTATATCAATTTTAACGTTCTGCATAAAAACATTCGTTAAATATTGCCCATTATCCGTATTGACTAACTAAAAGTTTGCAAACAAACTCGTAAATCCAGACACATTAACATTGTAAAAAAATTAAACGTTGCTTATGAAACAGTAACAAACAAACGTAAAAACAAACACTGTACTTACTGTTTTAAAAATTCAATTAGACTTTTAATCCAGCAGTATGTACTGTATATTTATGGACATATAAAACCGTTTTATGAGAGTGACTGCTCTCTTTAAATGGAAATATATTCATGAAATGGACTTAAATGGACTTAAGTTAAATTTGGAAAAAGAATGATAGGGATTTATAGTATATAAATTATACATTTTAAGACAAAGTAAAATAATAGGCTAAAATGACAAACGCAAAATGATGACAAACTATTCTGACGACAAGCTAAAATGATAACAAGCTAATATAATTACAATCTAAAATGACGAAAAGCTTAAACATTAACCAGCTACAAGGATATAAGGGTAAAATGAAGACAAACTAAACTGCAGATAAGCTAAAATCAAGGCAAGCCAAAATGATGACAAGCTACAATGACGGCAAGATAAAATAATAGCAAGGTAAAATGATGACAAACTAAACTAAAGACAATCTAAAATGATGACAAGCTAAAATTATGATAGGCTAAATTAATGACAAGCTAAATATGAAGGCAAGGTAAAATATTGACCAGCTAAAATGATGTCCAGCTAAAATGATGACAAGCTAGAATTAAGACAACCTACAATTTCGACAAGCTTAATATGGGGGGTAACATGAAGACAAACTAAACTGAAGACAAGCTAAAATAATAACAAGCTACATTGAGGGCAAGATAAAAGGATGGCAAGGTTAAATGATGACAAGCTAAAATGATGATAGGCTAAAATAATGACAAGCTTAATATAAAGAAAAACTAAAATAATGGCAAGGTAAAATGATGACAACCTACAATTATGACAAGCTTAAAGGATATGCGGGTAAAATAAAGACAAACTAAACTGAAGACAAGATAAAATGAAGGCAAGCTAAAATAATGACAAGCTACAATGACGGCAAGATAAAAGGATAGAAAGGTTAAACGACGACAAACTAAAATATAGACAATCTAAAATGATGAGAAGCTAAAATGATGATAGGCTAAAATAATGACAAGCTTAATATAAAGAAAAACTAAAATAATGGCAAGGTAAAATGATGACAATCTACAATGACGACAAGCTTAAAGGATATAAGGGTAAAATGACGACAAATTAGACTAAAGACAATCTAAAAAGATGACAAGCTAAAATGACGACAAATTAAACTAAAGACAATCTAAAAAGATGACAAGCTAAAATGACGATAGGCTAAAATGATGACAAGCTAAATAAGAAGAAAAGCTAAAACAATGGCAAGGTAAAATGATGACAAGCTAAAATGATGACAAGCAATAACAAGTTAAAAGAATATAAGGAGAAAAATTAATACAAACTAAACTGAAGACAAGTTAAAATAATAACAAGCTAAATATGAAGAAAAGCTAAAATAATGGCAAGGAAAAATGATGACAAGGTAAAATAATGACAAGCTACAATGACGACAAGATAAAAGAATATAAGAAGAAAAATTAAGACAAACTAAACTGAAGACAAGCTAAAATAAAGGCAAGCTGAAATAATGACAAGCTAAAATGATGACTAGCTACAATGACACCCTACAATGACGACAAGATTAAAGGATATGCGGGTAAAATAAAACTAAATTGAAGACAAGATAAAATGAAGGCAAGCTAAAATAATGACAAGCTACAATGACGGCAATATAAAAGGATGGCAAGTTAAAATGAAGACAAACTAAATTAAAGACAAGCTTAAATGAAGGCATGCTAAAATGACTGCAAACTAAGACGATATAATTGAAATTCTTAAATCCAGAATAAAACTGTTTTTTAAAACAAGCCTTGGCTTGACCACCGGTAATAATAGTAATCCCAAGTCAACATTTTTTGTGTTTAAAACCTCTTGCGGTTGTGGCTTAATAATTTTTATTGTACAGTGGAGTGAGCAACAGCTACGTGATTGATTGGAAACAATAATCTCGACCGGGCAAGATCGTGTCAGTCTATTACTTCTATCGCAACATCAATATTGGTTATATTATTACCTTACAGAAAACATGCCGGCTTATTAAATAAAAAATTTGCTCTGTGCAGAACGAAATTATCGAATTGATTGGACCACGGCATTTCTTCGACTTCTCTCTCTCGGGCAATTTATTACGGAAATCTCATTTGCCAAACCGATGTTTCGAAGAGAGAATAAACCGACGAACATTGAACACGGTGCACTGCTTTTTTCCGCCTAGGAAACGTTACTGTAATTGGATTTTTGTGGCTAATAATGTTTATTACCTATCTGTCGCTCTGCGAAGCTCCCTTTTTTAATTGCATTATTACTTTTTATTGCAGAAGGCTTCTTTTATGCAAATGTTGAAAACAAGCATTTTACTGGAAAATACCTAGATATTAAACTATGAAAACATAAGAATTTTTAATTTGGTACTAATATAGAAAATGTAACTAAAAACCAGTTCTTATTTATCTTTCCACAAAGTAATATTTCAACTTTTAAATGAAATGCAAACAGCTAAATGAATCTTTTATTAAATGTTATTTAATTTGGCTGAAAATAAAAAGGAAAAATTTAAGAAATTCATTTAAAATTATATTAACTTTTCTGAAGATGCAGATACAAAGTAACCACTTATTTAATAATGAACGAATAATTAATTAATTAGCTAACTTAATATAGCGCCTACGCATAATTTTGTTGTGATAAACAATTTGCATAAGCGCCCTAAGGTAATTACTTGTTTTTATTAAAAATAATAATCCATTTATCTTGAGGAAACCTTTTCTCGACAACATATATTTTAATAATGGCAAATAGAGCTGAGAGTTTGAAAGAAGTTTTGGTCATAATGGATGCCCGAACCCATTAGACTTGCTATCTTTTTATTTTATGGTATTTTATAGCGTTTTCTTTTGACAAGCCTGAGGCATCTCGTAAATAAAGGATTACATATTTTTCGACTCGGATAATTTTGTTAAGGGAGTGTCGAATCCTTCACGCCTATCAAACGCTTTACCTGCACATCGGCACTTATAAAATTGAATTTTAATTCGGTGGTTTCGCCATGACTTGAGAAAATGTTTCTATAAAAATCAACATAAATAATTCTCTTTATTGGGACTTAATTTAACCTTTACTGTTACATTTCTAAAATACTGTTCTTTTATTATTATTATTATTATAGTAAAACTTAACAAAGCAGAGTCAGAACACATTGTAAAAACCTTCGAGAGTAATATAAAGAAATAAACTCTACAATGTTACGTTTAATGATATTTTTGCGCTAGCAGGCGTTTTATTGGAGATAATAGAAATAAAGTTTTATTAGCTTGTGAATTTGGAAACATTTGCTGGAGACAGTTAAATTCCCATATTGCCTTTATAAACCTGGAGTAATATTTCTTCCTTATAAACTAAGAAAAAAGATTTTTTTTTATGCCCCTAAAGAAAAAGAGCTCCCAACTTCCTATTTAATAGCACCAAGTCGGTGAACTCAAAGTATGGTTTAGCCTTACAAATTGCCTCGCTATAAGTATCTATAAATCAATATCTTCATTCTAGATCACGCTATGGGCTTTAAGGTGGGTCATACTAAAAATTATACTACACTTCCTATGTTCGGTCACTTTAGGTTCAGCCCGGAGCGAAGTTTATATGAATTGCGTTTTTTTTTTGTTGCTGTTGCACGACTTACCAACCAAAGTGTTGCACCGAACTGTTACATCGTGACTAAAAGATCGTTATCGAACCATACCTCGGTTCAAATGTCAAGTATTTGTGAAACTATGTATGTACACTAAAATTGATAAAATTGATAACATATTTTATGAATTTTCGAGAAAAAATGACCACCCAGCTTTAACAATTAATTAATAAACTACCATGATATCGTGTTAGCAATTAAGGCTTCTCTAATCTGATTATACACTTTTAGACAATCTAGCCTTCTTGAGGGTCAATATAAATGTAATTACTGTAACTCTTTTCAAGGCTCTACAAACTTAATTTCTTGAGAATTTAAAAAGTATAAAAGTACTCACCTCCTTTTTCTGCATTGGTAATGATAACCCAAAAATCAATGGTCTTTTCTGGCCCCAGTTCCTCATAGTCCCACTTCTTTTTCACTCTAACTGAACCATTGGGATCCACCGTCACCCATGCATTTTCATCCCTGATCTTGAAAGTCTCACGATCCGTCTCCTTCTCCAGTTGGAAAACGTTTCTCCCATCAGTATCACCGTCAGTCTCCGTAAATTCAATACGTTTGGTGGGTCTTACAGCTCTTGTCACTCTACGTTTGGTTCTGTGAAGTTCATGTTGTTCTTCCAAATGTTGGAGGTCGAGATCGATGTCTACCTTAGAGTTTTCCGCAGGTTTAAAATGGAAAATCACTTGTGCTGGTCTTGGTGATGTTCTGGAAGGTATTCTGAGATCGTGGGCTTCCACTACGAGTTCCAACTCGATCTCTTCTATGGGTTCTTGTGATAATAATAGATCTCCGGTTTGTGGTACTATTACTAAAAAGTTTGTAGGAGTTGCTAGTTTGTATGCTATCTTATCACCATCAGCATCTGTGGCTTCTACTTTTCCAATTGAAGAAAATCGCTTCCACGTCATGGTGATGTTGTCGCCTTCCATCGAATCATCACCGACGACGAATCTGTATACTTTCTGCGTGAAAACTGGACTGTTATCATTTTCATCTTCAACATTGATCACCACGTTCGTTACAGCCTTGTTAACACCGCTGGGATCTGAAGCTTGTATAGTTAAAACATAGTGACTTATATCTTCTCTATCTAGTAGTTGAGCTGTTACTATATTTACTCCTCCTTTAGTATCATTGACTGTAACATTCTCCAAACAGTCGCCTGTTAGGATGTTTTGTAGCTCAAATGAGTTACCTTCATTACCGGCAATAATGCTGTATGTAACGGCTACGGTAGACGACGCATCACTGGTTGCTTGCAGCAAAGGAATACCAGTTATTTTAGTCCCTGACGGTGAGTTTTCAGGAACTGATCCCACAATCTCCTCGGAGCATTCCGTCTTGAAACTCAGCATGTTTTTTCGATCCAGCACGTACAATTCAAGCATGTGAGTTATACTAGCGTTACCCTTCTTCTCCAGCACAACCAAATCTACAGGGTGATTCACTAAAGGGCTTACATCCGACACGGTCATGATAGAACCGTCGTGCAGCATTGTAAAGAACTGCGAGAAGTCCGAATCGAGCAGTTTGTAGTCCAGTCCGTTGTTCGATTGAAATTTTTTCACGTTGTACCCCGGATGAGCGTCATGGGGTATGACCGTCGTCATTTTGGACAACCCCACGCTCCAAAAGGCGGCGAATATGGCCAGGCCCACTGAGAAGACTCCCATTCTTCTTCCCTCTATTGCGGCGTTTTCACCTGCGATCCATCAGGAAGTTTAGGGATCTGAAACAATTAAATGGAGGGTTATTTTTTGAAATCCGAGAACATGGTTTTATTTTAGCTTGTGGTCGCTTTATCTTGTCTTCCTTTTATAGAGATGTAAAAAAACGGTTTTTTTTTCAGATGTGAAAAAACATGAAAAAAAAACTAGAAAAAAACGGTTTTTTTTTGTTTTTTTTCAAAATGAAATTTTGAAAAAAATATATATTAATATTAAAGTGAAATGTAGAATATATTAAATTTTTCATTATTGAAAATTTTGACCGAAAGAGCAATGTAAAACTTGTTTTGCGATTCTTCGGATAGCTGTATCTTTGTTAAAAATGGTCGTATTGGAGCCGTAAAAAAGCAATTTGAAGCTTGAAGTTTCTAGTTTTGAGATTTTTAGATGAAAAATGTGCAACGCTCAATCCTAACAAATACCGTAATAAAAAAAATTTTTTTTTGGCTTTCTGGTCCACGGAATGTTCTGACTTAACCACCAATGAATAAATGTTCTACAAGAATTTGCTATTGTTTTTTGAAAAAAAATTCCATACTCTACATGAATTTGAAAAATCATGAAAAAAGTGGTTTTTGGAAGCTTTTTGAAAAATCAAGCGCTGAATCAAAAATATTATATGTAGTTACTTTTTTTAGGACCAAAATGAAAACAAGCGCGGCCCTTCCCTAGTAGAAATTTAAATGGGGAATCAGTAGGGCGCTAGCTAGTTTTCCCCAAATGAAACGAGGGCCTCGCTAGGAATCCCTACTAGTTTCCGACTAGTCATGTAATGCTTTTCCTGGTGGGGAACTACTAGGGAAAATCTGGTAGGGAAAACTAGCTTAAAACTGGTTGGGAATATTTGTGAATTTTTTAACCAATAATAAAAGCCAGTAGCTAAAATTATTTTATTAGATTTATATATTTACATAGTTCGATCACTTTTGGAATTATTATTGTCGGTTGTAAATTGGTTTGGTATAACCTCTTGTGACAAGCCAATATTGTTTGCTGCACCATGACTTGACGTTGAATCACTATCAATTTTTCTGCACCATTGGAAGAATCTAACAAGTAAATGGATAATTTAATATAACGGGTAAGTTTTAAGTAGAGATGTTATTTTTAACAGCGTGTAGAAATCAAGTAGACAAAAGAATACTTCAAGTATCTCAAAAATAAGAGAGAAACAGTAACTTACTGTCAGTAAGTAAAACTTTTCACGCCGAAAATGTCGCGCATTTGATCCATAAAGTGCACGGCACTACTGCAAATAGATGCAACCATCTGAAAAATATTGCGCATAGGTACAGTCATCTGGTAACTACTGCGCATAGGTACGATCATCCGATAACCACTGCGCATAGTTTCAACCATCTGGTACCTACTTCGCCAGTTCAAATTCTCAATTTTGTTTTTTAAAAAATTAAGTTATTTGAAATTTCAACAAATTATGTTTGACCATTGATTTCTAGACGCCTGTTAATAAATAAACTCCCTTAAGTTGAAGGTAACCTGTATCTTCAAAACAAACATAATTCCTTAAATGTTTGTCCAAAAGAAGCCTTGTAAATTAAATTTACATAAATAGTAAAATTAAAAAAAAACTAAGGTTAGGTTTAAACTTTAAAATATCTTTAAACATAAAGCAATAACTTACCGTACCGTATTTATTTAAACTTGCCTTAATTTCACCAACCCATCGATCTTTTAGAGTTTATAATTCATTATTTTAATCATATAACAAACACAGGAATTAAATGTCAACAAATGTAAAATCAAGAAAAACGTCAAAATCCTTAGTAACCTGTAAACAAGGGGATTTTCCCTACATTTCCTTACAAGTTTATGATGAGGGAAACTTGAGTCAGCCTAGACTGGAATTTAATGAGGAAAACTAGATGTGAACTAGTCAGTCAGAGTCGAGTCACAACTAGGCAAGTTTTACTAGTTAGTTCCTAGTCGGGGCCTATCTAGTATTTCCCTTTCTAGTTTTTCCCTATCTAAACCCAGCCAGCGCCCTACCAATATTGAGGAAAACTGGACAAATTTCTACTAGGGTTATTGGTCAATTCGGTGGTGGTGGCGCGTGCATAGCGCGAGACTGTATTTACATTTATTAATTGTCATTTAGTGGCTAATTTTAGTCCATGAAACCTAAAAAATTAGGTAAATAGGACTAATCTTGAAAAAAAACCTAAAATGTGAAAAAAACCTTTTAAAAAAAAAACAATGAAAAAATACCTGAAAAAAAACAAAAAAAACGGACCGTTTTTTTCAAGTCGCATCTCTATCCTTTTAGTTTTTTATTATTTTATCTCTACATCATTTTAGAGTGTAATGATAGTCATTAGTTTATCTCATAATTTTATTTTGTGGTTATTTATATCATGTTTTGTATTATAAAAATTACTGATTAAGTCGCATTTCGTTATTTTTTAAAGCTGTTAATTTTTTCAATTATTTCATTTAACAGGACCACACAAAAGATCCCCCATCATGCTTAATATGCTAACAATATTGACTTAACATTCATAAAACTTCCCAATATTTATCAGTAAACATTTGCAGTTCTGTATAAGCAATTGTGTTTAAGCCGGTATTATATGCAAATTGAAGCTGCAACCGGGCTCTACTTGAATTAATATAGATAACGCCGTTGTTTCGAACCACAATTGCAAATATTAACTTGTTTTTGCGTGAGAAAAACTACTGAATAAAACATTCCAAGACCACAAATCTTTAGAAAAACTAGACAGAACGAGAATGTGGAAGGAATGAAAATTACTTATGTTATATAAATATAACTATGTTTATTTATAAATAGCTTTTTGATTACTCGCGGTGCTACTTAAAAGAAACGCCCATTTATTTAAATTGCTGGTGGTGTTGAATAAACACATAATTTAGCCAATTTAAGGAGCATTTGATGAGATAAATCAAATGTTATAGTTATTAAATGGGTACCTATTTGTTTACTTATAAGATTAAACTAAAAAAGTGTAATAAATTATTTAATGACATATCGAAGCTAAATAGGCAAATGCCAACAAAGAGATGCAAAGGCATAGTTAGCATAACAAGGATTCGCTGATTGCCAGTAGCTGGTGGGTCCAATTAGTCTGATTTAGAAGGGGCGGACCTCACAAATTTTACCTGAGAATTGAGAACATACCTCTCTGAATGGACTGAAAAAAGTTAATAAATTGTGTTAAGGTAAATATTTATTTGACGATTACCATAACCAATTGCGAGAAAGGTTCAAGAGGGAATGTAAACGGAAGATTGAATAAATCGCATTAAAAATTAAGCCGCTTCTCACACACCTTACTGAAATTAAAGACGAACTTAAATTATGACAAGCTAGAGTAATAACAAACTAAAATGCTGACAAGCTAAAATAACCAAAAGCTAAAATGAGGACAAACTAGAATGATGACAAGCCTGAATGATGGCAAGCTAGAATAATGACAAGCTTAAATGACAATGAAATAGAAGTAAGAACTATAAGAGAAATATTTTAAAGTTAATTTTAGGAGTTGCTTAAACAAATTAACACAAGTTGGCTTTGTGTGCAAACAGATTTCAATTAAAAACTGCGTTATTTTATGTTAATTAAATAATAAACCCTGCAATATCCAACCACATAATATAGAATTTAAATTAGTTTAATTCTCGTGGTGCGAGGCTTAATTAAAAAACGCAAATTCCGCTACTGAATCGAGCTGATAATTTTGGTAAACTCAACTCACAACGTTGCGCCGACAAAGAGTACTAACAGATTGTAAATTAAACCTGTTCCTGTTTACCTGCACTTTATTAAAGGAGACTCGCTGACATGATAAATGGCAGATTTAATTCGAAACAAGGAATTCACTCAAACTAGTTCCTGATTGATCATGATCTCGTGCCTACAACAACCATTTGCTTATCGGATCTTCGAGATTAATCACTTTCTTGAAAGCATAAAAAGAATCCGTAATTAAATGTTAATGGTTTCTTTACGTGGTCTACTAATTTATATAAAACATATATGCTCTTAGAGGTATCCGTTTCGTCTCTTAAGCTTGCCATAATTTTAGCTTCTTGTCCTTCTAGCTTGTTCCTGTTTTGGATTTCAGCTTCTCTTTATTCAAGCTTGTTGTCCTCGCTAGTCTAGTTTTCCTTAAAATTAAACCCAGCACCTTCATTCCACCGTACTTAAGATAAATCTTCGATGTAACCCATCACGGAACACGTTTCAGCTATTTTAATCGAATATTAATAATACAAATGTATTAATAAATAAAGTGGGCGCAGCGCAGCAACAAAAGGTCGGCAATAAACGTCAAATTTATGGCATGCACACTAGATTTATTTACTGTCAGTCGGGTTCCGATTGACCACCAGCGGTTTGAGTACTTAATACCGTGTATAACGCACAAAAGATGCGATCCGATGATACGGGACATACTGACACAAATGTTCGTTCGGTACAGGTTATGTCGAAATCTATGTTTCGTTGATAGCATTCACATTTTGATTTGATTGTTGTCGGATTTGATATTTAGCTTTTAGATGGTAGAGGTAATATTACCTAAATTAAGTAGGTAGATAATATTTCAAATATCGTGAGTTTATATGATTTTTTTGTTACAAGGTTTCTTGTGGGTTTAAAAATTACTAAGTACTTACTCTCTAAAAATGAATTAGTCAAAAATGACTATTTTCAAAGTGAACAAGAAGTCACTAATAACTAGTCCGCAGCAATTTGTATCCCGGACATTTAACAATTCTTATGTAAAATTGTCCCCTGAATCCGAAAACCATCAAAAATTATAAAAGTTTTTGAATATATATTCTATATAGTCAATTTCATGTTATATGGGAAATTGACTATTCTTAAAAACTGTTCTACTTTTATAACTTTTAATTTGACATTTTCGAATTCAGCGGATAATTTTACATAGGTACTCTAAAAATGAATTAATCAAAAATGACGAATTTAGTAGTT